CACTTAGATTTTTAATAGAAAATCATTTAAAATTTTATAGTAATTTGATTTTAGATTAAAATAAGCTTTTCAACCATAGTAAATAAATTCCATAAAATAAATGCAGAAAATAAAAAGACACAAAGATTTATACTGGTTCAGTCAAACACGACCTACATCCACTCCCTGAAGAATCCCTCTTCAGGTATTAAACTATTACCAAAGTGACTCTCCTTTTACTCTCACAGAAAAGTGGAGAAGCCTTTATAATTCCTCTCTTCCACCAATCCTCGGTGTGGCAGAGAATCGTCATCCTTTAACACCCTCCAAGTGTCGGCAAAGAACTATCATCCTTTCACACCCTCCAAATGTTGGCAGAGAACCGTCATTCTTTCATACCCTCCAAGTGTCAGCAGAGAATCGTATCTTCTTCAAAGATCTTCTCTCAAGCAACTAAAAAAAAAGAAAGGAAGAGTAATAACAAAAAACATAAAGAGATCCTTATCTTTGAGTAACCTTATGAACACTTCACACTCTACTTGTAAGAAATCTCTCTCAAATAGTCTCCTAAATACACTCTTTCACTTGCTCTTAAAAAATCATGAAGAACAGACTTTTTCACGTCAGTTTCTGAGGACCTTTTATATAAAAGACATGAAAAATCATCCAGAAAACTAAAATTTTCCATTTTGAGCGTGTCCAATCATACAGTACGATCGTATGTTCGTGCGTACGAATAAGTCAAAAACTATTACATATGAACCTTTTGTAAATCTGTACGAAATATTTTCATACATGATAATCGTCCAATACGAACCAAGTTTGTACTGTACGAACAGTTAAAAAATTTTTCAACTTCTTAAGGACGAAAAGGAACCCCACATTTTTGTACTCTAGATATTGTCTGTATGAAAACAAAATCGTACAGTATGATTTGTTCAACAAAATTTTGCATTCGTCGGGATGAAAAGGAACCCATTAAATTCATACTTTGGACGTCGTTAATATGAATAGGAAATCATACAGTACGATCTGTTCAGAAAACTTTAGGATTCATTGGGATGAAAAGGGACCCGTCCAATTCGTTCTCTAGACATCATCTGTATGAAGGAACCTTCGTTTAGTACGATCGGTACTTAGAAAATTTTTTTGCCTGCAGTTTGTTTGACTATTCATAAGGGAAAATAACTGAATAAATAGTCCCGTATGAAATGACTTTGTACAGTACGATCAATTTAAAAATTATAAATTTTAAACACTCCCCTAGTGTGTGTGTGTGTGTGTACATAATTACTTAATTACAATCATACTCTCTCAAACTCAATAAAAAAAAACATAATTCATTTATAATAAACCTTAGTCTTATCTGATTTGAAGTCTTCAATAATCTAGGGTATGATTTTTCTGAAATGTTAAAACACACAAACAACAAAATAATGTTAGGAGAAATTATAATTAAAACAATAATATTTGGAATCATCAAAAACATACATGTTGCAAGTATATCAATAAATAAAAAACTAAGTTGCAACTATCTCAACCCTTTTTATTTTCCATTTTTAAATCCAAGACACATCAAATTGGTATCAGAGTCTAGATATAGGTATTTTTGGCGGGAAGAAAGGTAGAAGTGTTGAAAAGAGAGTTCGAGCAAATTAAATCTAATTTTGTAGAAAAGATTTTCATTTTTTAAAACAATTTTCAACCATCCATAAGAAGATAAATAAGAAATTTTCCATCATGGAGGAGATGATAAAGAAGCTGCTTTAGGGCCAAACCAAACAAGAAAAATGGGAGAAACTCTAATATAGGGATAATGAGGGAGAACTATGAGTGGGAAAATTTGGGAGAAGAAGAGGAGATGCCATCTTTGGAACCACTTCAAATGAGGGGAAATGGTGAAGGAGTAAGATTTTTGGTTGAGCTATAAAATTTGAAAGGAAAAAAAGATTGGGAGAATATAAAAGCACCTGACATGGTTCAACTACTTCGACAAGAATATCAAGAGGTGTTCCACCCAGTTCATGGTTTTTTTCCTTTACTATCATTTGGAGGATGGAGTCTCATTTATCATTATTCATCCATACTATTCTCCCCAACTCTAGGAGGATGAGATGGAGAGATTGATCATGGTGATGCTAGAGGCAGGGATCATTTGTCCCAATGACAGTTCACTTTTTAGTATAGTTCTATTAGTCAAGTGCTGCAACAGAAGTTTCATTCATTCCACCTTGAGGAAAAGATGGAACTTTGGGAGAGTAGTATTGATGGACTGGGCGATTTGATTGGGTGGGAATTAATAAGTTTTTTTATTCAAGAGGGAACTATTTAGGAAGGTTCATAATTAAACGGGAATTATTTAGAAAATATTTTAATTATAATTGGGAGGGAATTATTTAGGGAAAGAAATCTAATTTGAATTCAAAATAAAAAAGAGAATTATTTCGCGAAAAGACGGAGGAATTAAGGGGGGATTGTTTAGGAAAGTTTTAATTATAATTGTAAGAGAATTAATTAGGAAAATAAATCAAATTTAAATTCAAATCACAGAGGAATATTTGGGGTGATTTCAAATGATGTTTTGGGAGTTTGCTAAATTTAGTTTATTTTTAGTTTAGTTTGGCTTTAGTCGATGATTAGGGATTTAAAAGAGTCAGATCTTCCTCTCTAATTGAAAATCCAATTGTATATTGCATTTCTCTTTATAGTTTTTTAATAAAAAAAAATTTGGGTCATTCTTCTTCGCTAGCAGGGGGGCCGTACAATCAGGAAGGGGGAGCTGTTTAAGATGGTTCATAATCAAGAGGGATTTGTTTAGAAATTTTTTAAATTAAAGATATTTATTTAGGAAGATTCCTAATCAAGGGGATGTTGTTTAGAAAAGTTTTCTAATTGTATTTATGCTATTTAGGAAGTGTTTAAATGTTTAGGAAGGTTTCCAAAAAAAAATGCTTAATTGTTTATAAAGGTTTTCTAAATCATGTTGAATTGTTTAGAAGGTTTCTTAAATCATGTTTAATTATTTAAGAAGGTTTATTAAATTATGTTTATGTTGATTAGGAAGGTTCTTTTTATTTAGAAAGATTTTATAAATTATGTTTATGCTTATTAGTTGTGTTATGGTGTTATACGACTATTTAAGGGGGAGTTTGTATATGATTTAAAGACAAGATTGTTGAGTTTTTTTACCTAGTGTTTGTTGTAAGTTCCTAGCAGCATTTAGGGTAGAGAGCTGATCTATCTCTCAAATAGTAGATCAATTGTATCTTATTTTATTTTGAAAGGAAAAAAAAAGCTCTATCTTTGTAATCATATCTTGTTCTTCTCTTTTATTTGTTATTTTTACTTCCAAGTTGGATCAAAATTCAAATTATGTGGTTGTGTTGAATGGATTTTTGGTATGTTTGTGATCTGTGGAGGATCTAATTGGTTGAAGGTTGATGTTGTTCTGATGGGGACTAGGGTGTTGATGTTATTTTCTTTGGAGATCTTATTGACTGGCTCTTGGATGGGCAAAATTGGTTGCATCATTATAACCTTGACCTTAGTCTTTTTGTAGGGCTCTTTTATCCTCCTTGGTGATGTTCCCTCTAAGGTTGTGCTTATTAATGCTTCCTTTATTTGGCCTTTGATTATTGCTTTAGGATGTGTTGTAATGTTTTGGGGCACTATTTGGAGCATATATCCTTTATAGTTTGCTGGTGGTTTCTTTTGATTTTTTCTATACTATTTTTACTTCTCTACATTTTGCAAGATCTTTTTTGCAGATATTAGGTGTTGATATATGATAGCTTAAAGTTGATTGGAGCTATAGGCTTTGAATTTTTGGGTCTTGGCTTCTTGCCAGTCTTTATTTTTCTTTTTGCTTGTAACTAGATTGGGATCTTTGACTATTAAGTTTTCTATAATTTTTGTATGTAACTCTTTAAGCAGTAGTGAGTTATTAATCCCTAGTAAAAATTTGTAATCCTTTTTATTGAATTAATACTTAAGCCCCTATCCGAGTTTTAACTTAAAAAAAAAACAACAACAACAACAACAAAAAAGATAGGTTCAAAAACAAACCACAAAAATTGGCGACTATTCAAATTATTAAGAAAGCTAAGAGTGATTTAAACATTTACTATTCTTATACTTTAGCAACTATTTCACAAGCACGAAAAAAAAAAAAAAACTATTTCACAAGCACGAGCTCTTATAACATTTTGAGCTGGTACCGATTAAGATTTTATTTGGGAGAATATTCTACTACTTTCTAAAATAATTTTTAGTATAAAAATTTTTTGAATCAAAAAATTTTATACGAAAAATCTGCTTTTAAAGAAGTAAATTTTTTTCCCAAATGAAGCTTGATTTGAAACCTAAGATATATATATATATATATATATATATATATATATATATATATTTCAAGTTAAACATCAAAGAACTTAAAATTTTTATAGAGATTAATACTTCTCAAAATATCATATATTATACAAATCTCAATATAAATTTAAAAATTTTAATGCTCATCTCGATATGTTTTATATCAAAATATTTTAAAACATTTTCCTCCACGAGAAAAACAGCCTCTTTCTTCTTGTCAAATCTTAAAAACGTAAATCCTAACATTGTATTTTTGGCGTTTGTTTTATTTTCTTTGGGTAGTATACAAATTCATTAATTGATATGACTTTTAGAAGTTTGCCTTTTCAATCCTAAATAACTTTTGTTTTTCTCGAACACTATGAAAGCAACAAGCCGTCTCAATTAATACTGCAGAAGTTATTTAGTTTTCGTGTTGCGTAAGTTGAAATATCATTCTGTCTGACGTTCGGTAGCTTTAATCAGAACACCATTTGATTTGTCTCACTTTTGTTACTTGTAACCATAGTCCTTTGGTGACTCGGATATGCCAGCAGCTTTGAAGTTTCTGTTTTTTTTTTTTTTCTTCAATTAATATCATTAATAATTTCTAATAAGTCTTTGTCATTGATATATTTAATCAACAAAACATAAATCTGAAGTAAAAATGGATGGAGATAACAGATTTCTTATTGGATTTATGTCTGCTTCCTTGAAGCCATTTGAGAGCACCTAAAACAGGTGCGTAGTTTTTGTACAGAAGAATAGATGTCTACAAATATTGTGAATCTTCATTAGAGAGTTACTGTAGGGCTAACGGCTCTTACAGAGATATAAAAAGTGTCATTTTGCCTGACATATAGCCACAATACTAAAGGTAAAAGAAAATATATATATATATAATACTTGGGCATTTATTCTTGATTCCTTGGAAAATTATTTTCTTTACATACAAAGTCGGTATCTATAGATATATACATGCAATCATTTGTCAGTCAAAATGTGTGAAGAAAGATGGTCCGGTGGTCAAGGAATCATAATTTAGCTCCCCTGGTTTTGCTTTCCTTTGCCTAAATTGATGCCCAAAATAACAAAAATTATGAGCAATTATCTTCATAAATGAAAAGACATCTAGTTGTAAGCCTAACAACCAAGTCAAAATGCACTCAACATCTATTCAAAGCTAAAACTAAGACTTTGTTTGGGACGTTTTTTATTGCTTAAAATAATAAAAAAGTAGTCTCAAACAAAGCTTAAATCGAGTTTTATGGTAAACAACAACCACGAAAATTTCATCAATGCAAAGCTAAGATTTCGTTTGGGACAATTTTTGACCGTTATTCTTTTGCTGCCTTCAAAAACAATTTGGAAAAAAAAAACTATTTTATAAAACAATAAAAGAATTATCCCAAACAAAACCTAAGTGTGAGTTAATACAGCTTTACCATACATTTAAAAGTAGACTAGTATTATGAGTTTAGCTTCTGACATCTATATCACAATAGAATCACCTAACGATTATTTCACTTAGCAAACATTCGAAGAGGAATGCATACAACTGCAAAGATATCCTTCAACAACTATATGCTACATTAAGTCTGGTATTATTCAATTCACGCCGACCATTTAAATGGAAAAGCTTTATTTTCAATAATTCTCAAGCGAATAAGGTTGATAACAATAAATTTAAAAAAAAAAAAAAAATTTTAAGGGTTTGATTACCAGATCTGGTCATCGATCATGGCTTCAGTTAAGCCAAATTTTTGCAGTTCCTCAACTGTGTGATGCCCAAGAAGGCTGTATCTATTACCATAACCCATAATGTATCTTAAGTCAGCTATTTCCATGCCACATAAATTTGCAATCTAAATCAGGAAGCACATGAAACAGCCAATGTCCAAGTTTATTTTTAATGATAAGCAAAATATTGAAAAAAAAATTCTAAATTGAATAACATTTAACACTCAAAGAAATATCATCATGAGCTGCATGGTTCCGCCTTTTGCTCTAACACCTAGTATCAATATTTGCTGATGCGTACGTTTAAAAAGTTTTAATAACAAATGAAAATAGGTAGAATGATAATATTTCAAAAAATAAATGACCAAACAGAACAAATTTTCCATTTTTTCAAATTGAGATACTTTTCCTTGATATAACAAGTAAGAAAATAATACATTATCAAGGTAAACTATGTGATCGTTCAAAGGGTATTAGCAAACCAATCAGTTTAAGTACGCTATAGATGTAAAATTTGAATAGGCAAGAATTTTATTAATCAGCAGATAATTCTGAGCCTACAGTCAACTCTCCTTCAAAGGCCGTCATAAATCTTGTAAATATTGCTGTCCAATTTGAGGCTAATACAACCTCCAAGTCTTTTTGCATCATTCATATGCTATTTACAAAATGAAATGGGTGCTTTCACTGGAATGTTAAAATCAGCGCAAGCTGGCAACATGATAATGACCTATTACAACATGGTTAAATCTAAGTTGAATTGTTCCATTTTGGTTGAAAGTGTCTCAATGAAACCAAGAGTTCACCACTTGTCAACATTCCATTTTTTCTTTATTTATTTATTTATTTTTCTTATTTTATTTTATTATATTTTATTTTTCAGTTACAACAGCTACCTTCATTATGGACGCATTCCACATATTCAATAGGCACGTACTTTTCTAGGCTAATTCTATAAGTCAACTATGGAAGTAACATTTTTTGCTGAATAAAATATTTGAATTCTTCCGTAGAAATGGAAGATTCCATGTCAGAAAACAGATTGAAAAATTGTTTAATCAAGCATCCTACTTTTCTTGACGCAAGAATAGATGTAAACTCGAATAATATGCAGTTGCACATTAAATTTGAAAACTTTACTCAATTCACAAATATGTATACTATGAGAATTTAATATGATATTAAATCATAGTGTTCAAGTTTTTCAGGATTTTTAGCCATTTATAGACTTCAGATAGATGTTCTATTGCATGAAGATGCTAGAAGCATCGGATGAGGAAGTACATGCTTTTCCATCATCTGACCACTGATAGAACACAAGAAAATTATGCCCTCCTAAACTGCAATAAATTTACAATTTTTTGTCTCAAAGCATGAGAGAGGTCTTTATGTCCTATGGTGGAAGGACTTCCATCCGATTTTGAGCGGTTTGGACACGAGAAGCATTGCATACAGCCAAACAATTAGCTTAGGCAGTATGGCATAGGATGACATAGTTGCTATGTTCGTTTGACAAAAGCCATTTTATTGCACATTTCATTCAAATTTTAAGGAAAAAAATATGTATGAAAACGATCCAGCCAATGAGCTTAAAATCAACAGCAAAAAAGATAGTTGCATGTGTTTACATGTTTCATTTTGGGATGTAAACTTGGTCAGTACTGAGGAACAACTATGGTAGAACCATCATCTGCTTTACCCAAAAAATAAAAAAATGAGGATGATTTCCTGTTATCCTCTATATTGTTAAATGTAGGAATTTACAAACCTCAGCATATTCTCTACTAACGAATAAAAATTCAAGTTGGATGAGACTGCCAAGAGGGGCATCACACATGCAAGGCAAGTAACTAAATCAGGAAGACGGTTAGGAAGTCAAAGTCAACTTATCCTAGCAACATTGTGCAAAAGGCTCAGAAGTTAGTATTTAGTATACATAACCTTAAACTGAATTGCAGAGATTATTTTCATGAATTTATCTCTTGACCACTTGATTGAAATCAGACATAATCTAATCAGTGTTTTTGCTCTAGGACTGTCCACTCACACGAATAATTAATAAAGGAAAAAAAATGTTTAGCTAGTAAACAAAAGTATAGCAACCTTTATAACCATATACATTCAGGTGGTTTAAGTTTACATGAGAATAATTGCTATTATGAGTTTTTATTTTTTTATTTTTTTGTTCCTTTTTAAGCTAAAATGATGCCTGCGCAAGTGCTTATCAATGAGGTCATTATAAAAAAGCATATGCTTCTCAACTTGAATTGTAGAATAGTTAAAAATATAAATTTTAGGAATAGATGAATAAATAACCACAAAATGTGTTATGTAAGAAAATGCATTTAAGAATTAAATATTATAATAGATGAATTATGAGAGGATTCATGGTTATAGTAAACGAAATATAAATGCAATGGGATAAGTTATGCTTGATTTTTAAGTAGCTTATGATCTTGCAATAGAGAAGGCATGCATAAGAAAAAGAAGTGGATCCACCAAATCATAAATAAGCTTCATTCTATTTAAAAAAGAAAAAAAAAAGACCTTGTTAGAGATTGAAGGATTATTCCATTAGATAATTTAAGCAAACAATATAGATTAGAAGGTCAATTTCTATGAAAGAAAGCACGAGCCAAATCACTCAAAGCCAACTTCATTCTCTAGATAGAAAGCTATGGCTGAGTTCATGACATGTATTTTATCGACATGGCTCTAGAACACAATGCTTCTATGAATGTTGAAGTCAGGTGAAATTCCTCATGACAAACATCAATTTTAAACTTCATCATATTATTTGTTACAACATAAACAGTTCAAGTTTCATGATGTGTCTTTGGAAAAATAATTAATAATATATTAGCAATATTGTTATATCTATTAGAAATGAACACCATGTTTTCCACTATGCTTATTGGCTTTCTCAGCTTCGTCATGAAATACATCCATGACTCATCAATTTTTAGTTAATTACTATAAATGTTATAGAATAAATTTGATTATTGGCATATTGTGCCGCTAGCACAAGCAATATACATCTATAAAATATATCTGGATATTTAACACTAGATGAAATGCACTTTTGAAGATTTGAATGCAAACACCTAAAAAGAATCAAATATACTTGAAACATTCTTCACGATCAAATTGAAGTTCAACAATTATCTTTAAATTTTTTTCTATATAGCATAATCAAATACGATGATAATTTCCAGAATGATGCTTGGAGAAACCCTCTTACATAGTTGATAGCTTTTCCAAGACACCATGAAATATTCTCATGAAACAAATTAATATTAGAGTCCCTCTTCACATTTGATATGATCATTTTTATCTTCATGTTATGATCGAACCCAATGACCTTATTCTTGATTATATGTATAATGAGCTATGGCTGAACTAGTTGAAAGCTTTCAAACATGTCTCAAACATTGTTCAAGATAATGTTTGAATTGTTGCAGTCCATGACCCCTAGCCTGAAATTTTGATGATGATAAATAATGTCAATTTGAATTATTTTATTATTCATTGAATATTTTGAATTTTTCTCTTGTCTGTGAGTACTAACATTTCAGGGAGATCACATATTACTCAAGACAATAATAAGACTCAAGACTAGGTAGAGTAGGATATGAAGTTTGTAACTCTGTAATTTTCATTTATTTTGTATTTTTTCTTTTCTTGAGTCTGCCCACAAAGTGTATGCAAACTAAGCAACCATGCACAAACACAGGGGGAGAGTTTGTTTTTAAAATAAGAAAATTTTTTTATCTGTAGATTGTACTATACGATTTTAAATCGTACTATACAACCTGCTATGGCTCAACGGCTATATGTGAACAAATAGTACTGTACGATACATATCGTACTGTATGATGTGTTTCTAATTAAAAATCCTAGCTGCCAGATTAATTTAAGTAAGTTCTAAACGGTAAATTTTTAATTGATCGTACTGTATGATCCAATCGTACTGTACGATAATTTGAATACTTACTTAAATTAACCCCCGTGATTAGTCAGTAAATCAAAGATTAATTTCTGATTGGTTATCGTACTGTACAACATGGTTTGTACTGTACGATCAATCGAGGTTGTTTTCAATCGTCCCGAACATCGTACCAGAGGATCCCTTGATTTTTTAACTAATTGTACTAAATGAAGTGAAAAATTGTACCAGACGATATGAAGCTTTTAACATATCGTACTGTACGAAGTAGATCATATCAGACGATGAACAGAGACGAGTTTTCATCATCCCAGCGTTCATCCTGTACGAACAGAAGAAAAATAACATATCGTACTGAACGATGTTGTATCATACTGTACGATGTTGTTTAGAAAAATTGCCTGTTTGTACTCCTTTGTACTAGGACGAAGGCTATTTTGAACTGATCGTACTGTACGATCTTGGATCGTACTATACGAACATAAACAACTAAATTGAAATTTTAGGATTTCTTGGAGCGTGATTTATATATGAATCTTTTCTCTTTTGAAAAAAAATTATGAGAGAGGAATGTGACAAGAAGGGGACTTCTTGAGAGAGAGCTACTTGAGAAGATTTTGGGTCTGTGAGAGGAAGGAGAATGTGAGTTTGGGATGGAGGAATGTGAGGGAGATCACACGGTTTCTCTTAGCCTACTACACGCTTGCTCCTCCTGTGGCTCGAGAACTTGTGGGAAGCTTTCTTAGGGGAGAGATCCTTCAAGGTCTGTGTTCTCTAAGGTACTCTACCTTCTCCAAAAACGAGGAGGTTCGCTACCGTCACCGGGAGGGTGACATAGTATTTGGTACTCCGCCATGCCAGGTAAGTGAAAGTGGAGGTTTGTAAAGGCTTCTCCGGCTTGCTGTGGGGGCAAAAGGAGAATTACTTATGAGTAGTAAAATTACTGAAGTGGAGGACTCTGGGGAGTGGACTTAGGTCAAGTGACCGAACCACTATAAATCTTCTGGTGTGATTTTTCTGTTTACTACACCTTATTTATGTTTTACATTTTACGTTTTTTATAACTTCTTGGTGAAAATCATGCTTTAGTTTTTTGTTGTGTAAGTTAAAATTTCATCATCTACTGTTGCAATCGTGTTTTAATCATCCGCTTCCACATCAAGTTTAATTGTTTTGTTTAAAATTTAAAAACAAAAAAATAAGAACTCCTATTTAGGATTGTTATTTTATTGCAAAAAATTTTCAATTCACCCCCTTCTTGACGCATATCGTATTTTCATGAATAAGGTTTGATTCATGTGTTCAAACAATGTTTTACATGGTTCAAACAAATACACAAACAATATGATTCAAATAAAATTTGAATATATGTTTGAACCATGATCGATCATAGTTCCAACAATGTTCAAACATAATTCAAACACATGTTCTAATAACATTCAAAATATAATATTTGATATTATAACTTCATATTAAAGCTCCATCAAAATGACTTAATATATGATACAGAATAGAAATATTTAAGAAAATCATAGCCATATATATTCCATTAGACGATGGAAAAAAAATCTAATTTCATTGGCACAATCCCTCTAACTTAAGAAATCTCCCAAAAAAAAAAACCAAAGAGTATAAAAGCGAGATGTAGTTCATCTTACATAATATGCTTTTGAGAATATTTTTTCAAGAAAAAAATATGGGCATCTTTCTCGATTTCCACTATTGTGGGGCATATAGAGTCAAATACTTATATATGTGTGTGTGTAAAATCAACATATTTATCAATTTTAGAATCTTAATGCCAGACAACTTATTCCCAATGGTAACTTCATATGTGTAATTACTATAGAAGTGTAATTATTCTGCTTGAATAAAAATCAAACCAACATAATTAAAACAGCGAGTTCAATTCTAATTGTTAATAGTTGCTTTGTTTGTTAAGAAGAAAATGGGAAGTAAAAGCCACATTATGGGCAACTTTCTCATTGTTTTGCTCTTCAGACCACTGCAACATTTCTGTTTCACTTTAATCATCTCGTTGCTTGGTAGAAAATTGTGGTGAGAATCTTCATTTTACAAATAGATCTACAAATGCATGTAGCTGTAAGAAAGCTGCTATCTAATATTTTCAAAACATGTAACATTTATAATAAAAATAATAATTTTCAAAAAAGTTATTTTCTTATGATAATATTATAAGTTATAGGAGTTTCATGGCTTAAATATTGGGGGGACATTCAGGAGTTACGAAAACATTTCATAGATTGGCAGTGAAGCTATATTTGGTGGGCATGCGAAAGGATGTAGAGGAGTTGATGGTTAGTTGTGATGTGTGTCACAGACAAGTACCTAGCTATGGCTCTAGGTGGTCTTCTACCAGCCTTTAACATTACACGAGAAGGTGTGGGAAGAGGTGACTATGAGTTTCATTGAAGAAATACCTAGATTAGAAGGGTTCACTATGATTCTGGTGGCGGTGGACAGATTGAGCAAATATGCTCTTTTCGTTCCCTTACGCCACCTATACATCTCAGTGTCAGTGGCTGCCACATTCATTAAATAGGCAGTCCATTTGCATGGCATACCTTTATGTCCGATTGAAACAGGGTCTTTCTGAGCCACTTCTGGTGGGAGTTATTTAAGATGCAGGGGACTATCCTGAAGTTAAGTACAACTTACCACCCCCAGAAAGATGGCTAGACAGAGTTGGTGAATCACAGTATGAAGACTTTTCTTCGTTGCTTTGTATCAGATACACCAAAGATGTGGGCTAAGTAGTTAGCCTAGACGGAATATTAGTACAACACTTTATATTATACAACAGTCCAGACAACTATTGACCTCTGGAAAAACAATCAAATGAAGCAAAAAAAATCTGAGGAGATTCACATACCTCGTATCTATCAAAAGCATCCGCGAATCCTGCCCGAAATCCTGCTGAAGTCACTGGACTCGCGTCTCTTCCCAGATTTTCTGCACTGTCTCGATTGCATCCCGCCCTTTCCTTCGCCTTTAAAATGCGAATGAAACAAAGCCTTTGGGTCTCCTGCTTCCATACACTACCCATTCGACTGATCCCCTTGCTGCTTTCTATCCAGAGAGAAAGAGAGAGTGGGATAAACACAGAGATAGAGAGTGTGTGTGTGTGTGTGATAGAGAGCTTCTTCCTACCTTATTTCTTCTAGAAGCCCTTAAGCCGCAAGCACTCGCGACCCAGCTCTTTCGACCTCCCTTCCATTCGCCTCTTCCGACCTTTTTTCCTTAATGAATCCCAAGCCGCAATCTCCAACTCCTCTCTAACCTTAACCGAGCTCTCCATCCTTGCCCTACCCTACGCCTCTACTCAACCCGACATCCACGAACTCCTCTTCTTAGAGACAAAACCCGCGAGCCCCTCTCTAATCCCAACCTCCGAACCAATCCCTAACTCAAATAAAATCCATAGCCCAGTCACTCCACTCACCCAACTCACTCAACTCACTCTAACTCAAACACACTCACAAACCCAAATCAGCCCAAGGTTGTCTCTCTCTCCCTCATTTCAATGTTTTGACTATAAGTGCATTTAACATTAATATTAATGTTAATGCTTATATTAATATTAATGTTAATATTATTATTATTTTTATAATAATAATAATATAGTTTCTATTATTTTAATATTCTTACTATTATTTTTAAAAAAAATCCTTGTCTCATGGCTTGCAACGGGCCGGCAAACCCCCTAAGCGCTCACATAGCGTAGTAGGGAGGGAAACCGGTGCGGCGCTTGCGATGACTTAAAAATCATTCTTTAATGCAAGCAACTAGCTGGCAAACCCTCTACGTTTTCACGTAGCGTAGTAGGGAGGGAAACCGACGCGGCGGTTGCGGCGAGGGAGATAAAAAATAAATAAAATATATAACAATAATAAGTACCTCCAAACGCTCATATAGTGCCGAGGAGGGAAAAATTGTGTTTTTTTTTTACAATGTGCTCGGAACCCTTAAACGCTCATGTAATGGACAGGGATAATAAAAAAATATGCAACCGTGGTGTCATTTTGACACCTACCTGAAACGCTCATGTAGCGTCGAGGGGAATGTTGCCTCTTGATTTTTCCCTTAAACAGGGGAGACGCCAGGAGGCTGCCAAAATTTTCACTAAAATAAGGGACTTGGACAAAATTTTGACAACTTGAATTTGACTCAAACTTAAACAAGGCTTGAACTTGATTGAACCCAAAGGACCGTAGGGGACGTAGAAATTGAGTTTGATACTTGAACTCAAGCAAGAACTTGTGTAAGACTTGAGTCAGACTCAAGTTGAACTAAACTCAGACTCAATTTGAACTCAAATGGGCATTAAAGAAATGACAATGAACTTGGTACAAGAAGTCTTAACTTGGATTTGAACAATTCGGACTTAAATTCAAGTGAACAAACTATGCTTGGACATGAACTTGAACTCATCTCGAATATGAAATAGAACTTGAACTTGCACATTGAGCTTGTGGACATGATATTGACAACAGAAAACTGGACTTTAATGCAATAAGTATATATTGAAATAAAGATTTATAATCTCAAATGATAATCCAAAGCATTCAAGTGAATATCGATTAATAAAAGCCTAATATCACTTGTTTCTAAGCAATAATGTGAGGTGCCTCGTTCATGAACAATAAATTACTTAAGCTTGGACAATTAAAAGAAACCAAAAGTGAGCTTGAACTTGCATGGATATTATGAAGTATAACATCATGCATAGAATGAAGATGTAGTTGATAGAACAATGAGCTCCTAATTACATGCAAACTACTTAACACAAAGCTCATGACGAATAGAACTCGCAAGCATGGTTTGATGGCACGAATCTCGAGTACATATATGAGATACATGAAAGGTACAACCATAAATGCAATGATCCAACAAGTAATTTGACCCCGATCAAATACGTCAACACCCATACAAGCAACGAGATTTGACATGAAATGATTTGACAATTAAAATCAATTTAAGGAGAAATTAAGTTCAAAATGGGATGTGATCCCCCTATAGTTAATGTTAGCAAACATGTAGACCAATGTATCAGTCCCCTTGTGAGATCAATTTGCAAGAAACATTGGTCTACTATAAAGATACGTACAATGTCTACAAGCAATGATAAAAGACTGCTCATGCATACAAATCACCTGCTCGTATGTTGAAGTAGAAATGCTCACAAGCAATGGGACTAATAGGAACACTTGTGAATGAAGCATTAAGGACATATAACAAGTGCAAATGCGCATATTGTATATGAGCAAAGTGATCCTATCTACAAGAAATGTTTTTGAATATATCGCCAATATAGAAGATTTTGTCAGATACAAGCGCTTGCTAGTAGGATGAAAGATGCTTTATATGCACAGTAATAAACATACACAAGTAGTGAGTAACAGGTTGTGAATGACACATCACCTCTACAATAACCACCATTCAATAGTCAGTGAATATGCCAGTCTATTGTAAGGAAAGGAGGATGATACACAACAAATACAAATACCCACGGATTAGTATAGAAGATCTGCATTACATATGGGTTCTCTACAAATAAAGATGTACGCACCATATGCCACTTTTGGATAGATGCAGAAGGACTTCAGTCAATGCAGTACCCTGAAGTTAATTTCAGTGTGTAAATTAATATATTTACTTGCCTGCCTACCAGCAGTATTAGCGAATGTACTGCAGGGACCAAAGATCACATCAAAACGTATAAATAATGCGACAAAGTCAAGCTCCTACGAATAAAAGCAGGAGACTCGT